TGGGGGGGGGTGAGTGGCGGCGCCGAGCGGAGAGACTGGGTACGGGGTGCGGGCTTGGTCCCCGCCTTTGTGTCTGGGACTGCGAAGGGCGAGAGCGCGGGGCGGGAGTTACGTTCAGGACACACAGCTTTGGCCACCCACTGTCCGCGTAAGACAGTTTGGGGGTGGGGGGGGAACGGGAAAGATGGTGGGGTCTGGCAGAAACAGGACCCACCAAGTTAGGAAACGGGGCTCGCCTCCTCTGGCGGTCTGGTGCGCGGCAGAGGCGCGGGGTGTCTGCGGAGGGAGCGCGGGTGGCAATGAATGACCGGACCCGGGAGGACGATGTGACTGAGCTCCCGGGGAAGCTCATCCCACCTGCGTGCCCTGCCCAGCGTCCCGCTCCCGAATCCTTGCTCCCGGGCTCGACCCCGCCTCTCCGCTGAACTTGGAAAAGCCGAAGGAGGTGCGAGCGGGAGAAGCCGGGTGGCTCTGGATACCCACAGTCCGCTATTGTTCCTTTATGGACTCAAGGGAGCGGGTGAGCTGGCGGGAGGGCGAAGGCGAGACAGCCCCGGGCCTGCCCCGGCCTCCTGTCCCCAATCCTCCTTGTCACCCCCCCCCCCCAACTCCTAGGACGGCGGGAAGATACTGGAGTTGGGGCACACTCCAGGCAGCTGAGCTTAGGTCGCCATCCATTGCGACCCGTCTGGAAGGACGGGCATCCTTTCAACTCTCATCACTGTTGGCTTGGGCCAGTTTGTGTCTGCAGTTTAGGTTCTGTAGTTTGCAGCGGTTTTTCATTTTGGATTTCGCATCTCATTTTTGGGATGGGGTGGGTGGTGGGTAGTTTGAGTCTGGAAAGGCAACAGATGGGGGATTAAACCAGATGGAACCTACTGTGACTTAAAGAGGCAGGGGTGACCTCTCAGAGGCCCGAGCTTTATATAAAGCCAGGCTTTCTTTTCCAAGGAGCCCAGCTGAGCGCAACTTTACTCCCAGTGACGAAGTGTGCAAAGCCACACACTCGATACCTGCCTCTTCCCTTCATTCTGGGCTCACAGGTGATTTGACTGGGAACCGCGGTAGGAAAAATAGTGCGGAGCTGCCAGGGACCTGGAGGCTTTGCTCATTGTCTATCTTGAGGCACGGGCTCTCAAGGCGATAAAGGCCGGTCGCCTGGGGAGGAACTAGTTTCGCCCGTTAGCGGGACTTTCATTAGCTCTTTTAGCGCGAACTTGAATCTGCTATGAGTTGGATCATAGTTGGAAAGAAAACAAACCTGTGAATCTCAGGGAGGTTGGACTTTGATTGCTTTGTCCCACAAGTGCTGGGTCCTTGTTTACACGTGTGACAGCAAGTTTTTTTTTTTTTTTTTTTTTCTGATGGATGTAATATTATCTTTTGTTAGTAATAACCTACTAGCGAGGCCTTATCTCCTTTATGCTTATATGGCAGCCAGTTTTATCAGAAGAAATCCAATTCTTGTTTAATATGGATTGGAGAGACATCTGGTGTTGGGCTGTCAATTTTATCTATTTACAGAGATGCTTTATTAACGAATTTGTTGTAGTATTCACATCCTTAGCTTTTTTTTTTTAATGACTTTTAAGAGCAGTGCAGGTGTACATAGCACAGCTGAAAGATCTTTGTACTGTCCTTGTGAAACTGAGTAAGAATGGATTCCCCAGCCACTGGGGATTCAGTGAGGAAGAAATATGGTGGCCACACACATTTGCTGACTCTAGACTACCACTTCTTAAAGCATGTCATCAGAAGATACCACTGTCATTTCCCTTGATTTTTGTTTGCCATTTGTGTGTATGTGTGTTGGGGGCGGGGCAGAGAAATACTTAGGTATGTATGTTTTCACATGGGCACCACTGACATGCTTGTGGAGGTCTGAAGACAACTTGTCAAGTCAGTTGTCTCCTGCTATGTGGTTTTGGGACCTGAACTCAGGTCTTCAGGCTTGGCAGAAAGTGCCTTTTCCTGGTGGGAAAGACAGCCCCTTTGTTTCTTTTTGATGCTACTAGCTATCAAACTCAGGGCCTGCTGTGTGCTAAGATGAGCTCTACCACCATGTTAATGCCCACCCCCACTGCCACCCAAATTCATAGGCAAACTGAGATTTGGAGTTAAGATAACTGGGCCTTGGGTTTAACAGAATGCAGTGTTGTCTTTTCCTCTCTTCCTTTCTTAACCTGCTTGTCTTCCAAAAATAGAAATAAATGGAAATATTTCAAAAATAAACAAAAATTGAGCTTAGTAAGGCATTGATCTTTCCACTACATGGTTATAATAACAAATTCTTTATATGTCCTTTCCTCTCTGCTTCTAGCCTAAGGTAAGTAGGAATGACTAAGTTAGTGCAGACATAGTTTTCATGCGTGCTTGGTCCTTCTGTGTGTTTATAAAAAAAATCATGCGCATTTATGTATACAGTTTTACATTCATGGTATAATTCTATATACCTACAGCTTGCTTCTTTAATATTTTGTTTTTACTCACATTGGCTATTATAGACAAATCTAATATGTAAATAATATAGTATATTTATCTCCCCATCAAGTGAAAACTGGTTTCCAGGGCACCTTTTTAGCTGAGGGAGAGCCCACCATTTATTAATTTACTTATTTATATTGTTTATTTACTGTAGCATGCTGTGGTGTAGCAGTCCATATCCTGAGACAGGCTTCCTGGCTCACAGATTTTCCCTGTGGCTAGTTGCTGGGATAGTGCGCTCTTGGAAGGCTGCTTTCCTTATTTCATTCATTTCTCGGGGAGTATTTAGGGTCTGTCCCCGCCATCTGTTAGATGAAAAAGTGAATACTGGTCACTTCTAAACTCTAAACATTTAGGTCAAGTTAGTTGACTGGATTGTTTTGTTTGGGTTTTCTTTTTCATTATTAGTAAGAATAGTTCATCATACTGCTGAGTTTGGTCTAGTGCTAAAGGCTTGTTGGTCCTCTGATCTGTAATTACTCATTCAGTGTCCTCTTCCTCATTTCTTCCTTTTTAGGCCTAAGGGCTTAAGTATGAATGAAGAGGCAGGACTCCACTCTGTGGAAGTGTGGCTGTGTTAATGATATGACTTGTCCCTAATGGTACCCAGCTTCTCAAAGAAGAGTTAGGCAGTTAGCACATTTGTCTCTGTGTTATTCCTTCAGATTTCCAGTCACGTTCTGGCCCCCAAGTTCTTGCCTTTGAAATACCTTTTCCCTTCTCCCTGGAGCTCATCTTCCCTACATGGGCTCTGGCCTTTTCCCCCTGAGGTGTTTCCTCAGACACTTCCACCTAGTATATCCTGCAACCTTTCACCTACTTTGTTTCCCAGTGTGGCCCCTGTCAGTTTCTACCTTGCCAGATTTGTTAATTTATGTTAGTACTGTCTCTTACACTAGAGTACAGGCCTATGAGGGCAAGAGTTTTGCAGCTTTTTAAGTTGTTGGCCCATGAGTATTGTGAACATTGTTGGTACATAGTAGTTACTCATATAGGATAAATATAAATGATTGTAATGTGCTTTTTATTGAATTGGAGTGTAAATGTTTAGTCCTGGATGGCCTGCAACTAGTTATGTGGATTGGTCTCTAACTCACTCCTACCTCTGCTCAAGGTATAGAATTACAGATATATATCACCAAGCCCTCCTATCAATATTATATTTGTTGTTTAACTTGGTATTTTTTGCTTCCACTTTCTTCTGCACATGTTAGACATCCTGGAGGTGTTAGATGTTCTCTGTCATACCCCAATGCCACACTTACAGTCCCTAAAGGGATTTAAAAAAAAAGTCTTACAAAGAATTCACTCTATTTCATTGTGTAACTTAGCCCAGAGTATTTGTGCTGAAGGTATTTTTTGCCCAATGTTTTGCCTGAAACCAAATTCAAGGAAAAACAAGGAACGTGATGCTTGGCAACATAGTCATCTCTCATTTTTCTTGACAACTTTTCTTCCTGGTAATCCTGATGTGAAAGGGGCAGACTTTTCCCTCCACACAGCATCTCTCCAAACATGTCTTCACAGTCACCAGCAACACCAGACACAATGAATTTCTAAGAACAGGAAAGCATCTCCCTGACTTGCTACAGAGAGGTGTCTGCATCACTCTTAAACACCTTCATTTGGGAGGTTGTGGGGTAGGGTCTTTTTTTTGTGGTGAAGGTCTAAGAACAGCCAGTGTGAAGCAGAGACCTAAAAATATTCAGGGTTAGAACTGTCACATCCGAAGGTCCTTAACTCATGGTACAGACAACATCCACTGCACAGTACAGGCTTTATTTTGCTGGGAGCCAACTGAATTTTCTCTACCATGGGTGAT